TCATAGCCCCTCTCGTGTTTACGCAATATCTTTAAAACCGCTGGACGTATCAAAACAAAGCTTTTAGGACCTTCGGCTGCATCAATTTATTTGACACCTTGTGCACTAATAAAATTTTCGTAGCTACTATAGATCGGCCGGAAATGACGCCAGAGTGACATCATGTTCGGCCGATTTTGATGCAAAGCATTGAACAACGGTAATCGCTCTCAAGATCTGAGTTTTAACCCGGCAAGCGGTGGGCCTCCCGGCTACCTTCCGCGCGGTGGGAGGGGGGGGGGGATTTTTGACCCCCCCCCCCGAATCTCCGAAGCTACTATGACGGATCGGTAAAATTTAAATGGCGTTCGATAGCCTTGTTAAATTTGTCGAGGGAACTTCAATTTCATTGACCTCGGGGTCACCGATGACATCACAGGCCAAGTCAAAGATAAAATGTTTCACCGTTCACGGGTCTTTTAAGGAATGCGCTGCAACATCGAGTAAAGGGCATTTTGTCAAAAATCAGCGATAGGGCGTGAGTTGCCTATTATACGAGCATATGTTGCTATTGGAGGTCACTGATAATACCAGGTCCGATCACCAAGGGTCAGCACATGAACCTATCTTTACTAAGTAGGGTTGTGCGATGCATGTTTTATGGCCAATTTTTCATATTCGCCTCAATGGTGTTGGTTATAAGACCATCAGGGACGGTTTTTTGGTCACTTTCTGGTGGAGGTCAGGTCAATGTCAGGTCAAAAAGGTCAAATTTCAGGTCAAAGTTGATAGTTTCGCATAAAATTGGTATTGATTCGATGCCACTCGTCACGGCGAGTCTAATGGTGGTCTTTGTTTTGCGCTTTGTGGTCTAGAATTGCCAAAATCGAGTTTGAAAATTTGACGTCATTAATTTTGAACAGTTTTTTTTTTGTTATAACTTGGCAAAAAGGAGTTATCGATCTAATACTTGGAATGTGAATAGAAGTCCATAGTGGCTATTACATATATTCCGTTTGTTTCGAAAATCGAAAAACTTTTGGGATTTTTTGGCTATTATATCTATTTCTTTTTATTTTTGGGGTCAACTTCAAAAACAAAATCGAGAGAACAGTATAGTAGCCCTGGTAATTCTACACATTTCATGTCTTGAACATTTTTATGCATAATCAAATTTATAGACCTGACAGCTCTTCCCGCGAAGCTTTTTTTTTGGTCGACAATGGCAGAAATGACGTCACTCCGACGTAGCGGCCAACTTATCATAGCCTTTGGAAAAAAAATTTGGTCACAATGTGCAAAAGGGTACTGAAAGTTTGGTGAAGATCGGCGCAGCGGTTCTGGAGATATATCGAAAAAAAACTAAAGATGGATGCAAAAAATGCCCCCCCCCCCACCGCCTTGAGGGTTAAGCTAGATCCTTTTTTTTGCATGGGTGGACTCTACAGGGCTACCAAACTGATTTCGGACTTTCGAAATGTTGAATATTTTGAAAATTATAAATATAAAAACTCAGAAATTGTATTTTTTATTTTTTTACATATACGTTTCTGAATGAAAAAAAAGCAGAATATGACCACGTTTCCATGGGCATCACTGATCCGGATCAGTAAAAATGGATTAGCTAATCCAGTATAGTTAGACAATATATGAAAATGAAAATAAGGGATTAACTGATTATATAAGCCTAATCCACTTGGAATTATATCATGTAACGAAGAGTTCGAGAAATATAATACGATTTAAGTTTGCTGATCCGGATCAGTGATGCCCATGGAAACGGGGTCTATATGTGTTTGAACACATATGCGTTGAATATATGTGAACTTCATCTGACAAACACCTTTTTTGTTGAAAAATGTCAACTTCAAAATTTGACCATTTTGACCTAAAGTGACCTGACCTGACCTCAGCTATATTCAGCTAAAATGGCCTAAACTGACACATACAACACTGATTTCGATATATATGGCCTACATGAACCATAAAACATGTCTCACGTCACCGATGCACGATATAAAGCTTTCGTGACCTGGGATGAGATGGCCTTGACCTGAAAAATTCGAAGTACAAGTTCGGTACCCTCAGGTTATGTTACGCATATATTCACGAGTGTGCAAACAAAAAATGAGCCTGATCTGATTTGTTGGCCGGCGCCCAGAGTGCCAAGACGCTGATATTTTTACTTTGACCTGACCTGTGACGTCATCGATGACCTCGAGGTCAATGACATTAGGCTTCGCTCAACAATATTTCCAGGGCTACCAGGGGCCGTTTGAATTTTGACAATCGGCCCAGTAGTTTCGGAGTTAGGAGCCCCCCCCCCCCCACTGTAACGTGCTGTAACGTGCTGTGGGGCGCGTTAGAGCACATACCCCAGTGAGGCGTGGGTTAACAAATAAAAAAACACGTTGATTTCCGACGCTGGGAAATGCCCGCAATGATACCCACCCCACCACCCTCCCCCTACCCGGTCCAACAGGGTCTCAAGGAAATTCAACAACATGAACCGAAACAAAGGCTGCGATCTTTGCTGGAAATGGCACTCGTGAGATAAGTATTATTATGCTGAAGATACAACGACTTACTTGTTATTTCCGAGTATCCTCCACCGTCAGCTACGCTAACCACCCACACAATCACCGTTCAAATATTTAAAACCACGGAGCACCTTCACAACGCCGGCGCGCGGCCGGAACTGACATGGCGGCGCCGCTGCAGCAGAGTCAGACGCACGTGGATTGTTAGTAAGGGTGTAGTGTTGTCATGGTGTTGCCATGGTATACCTTACCATAGCAGCAGAAGCACACCCAGGGAACTGTTGCAAGAAATTTCTGGCCTTTCGTCCATAAAACTATTAATTGCTCAGGGTCTCAGCTAGTCCTTGGATGACGCTCCTTCCAACATATCAAAAATTGGCAAACACCTCTATGGAAAGGAGGAGACTTGATCGCCGAATTCACCTGCTGGATCCGCCCGTGGAAAGGTTGATTTTACTATGGTAGGGAATATTAGCTTACGAGGGTATCTACTAGCCTCAGGTGGTTACCACCTTGTAAACTGGGGTACAAAACCACCCCTGATAAACGTAACCATGGTAATATCAACATGTCAAGGCAGGATAGTATTCAGCACCATAGTAGGCTGGTAGTAATATGATGGTAGGCTGATGGTAAAATTTACCAAAGCTAGTAACTTAGTAAATTGATGGTAAAAACTTTTTTCAGTGTAGGTAACTCGTATTCTGACCAGCAACGGTATGAGGCACGAGCATTCACCTAATGATTGGCCGGAAAAAGATGAACAATAGTGATCACTGCTCACATCGAAATCCAGCACAGCATACAGCCAATAGACACAGCTTCCAGTGTCAGTTGAACACCGGCAGGGAAGGGCACATATCTTATAGCTTATTGATGAACCTTTTTATCCTTAGCAGTTTCGGGACTTCAAGCAATTTTTCATAATTAAAACCAAATCATAGACATTTTGCCATATTTCTAGCCGTAGTTCATTCGAGCTCTTCTTTGTTATGCATTTTGTGAGTTTCCATGACAAAAAGGAAAATTTACATAAATTTATTTATACTTTATTTAACCCTCGCCGGACCTATTGGTTTTCTACATACGCGCCGGCCGAGGGGGGGGCGGGTACGACCCCCCTCGCCGTTTCGCCCCTGGTGGAGCTAGCGCGTCGCAAAAAAAAAAACGAGCGGGTGCGCCGTTACGAGACGCAGAGATTGGTACCCGATTTTAAGGTCCTAGGTCAACCGGTGACCTCTGAGGTCAGGTCAAGTGCCCCAAGGTACGGTTCAGTTTTTGGTGAATAACTTCGCAAAAAAAGGCCGCAGAGCCGCGATTTTGGCAGCATCGTGTTTGCCTTGCTCAGGCGCGTCAAATGATATACTTTTTGTTCGGGTCAGGTCAATTTGGGGTGTTGACCTCAGGTCAAGGTCAGGTTAGCACCCCCGGGTCACGAAGTTGGTCGAAAGAGATCATGTCACATATTATTCGATTCGGCAGGTCTTCCTGAGTCCAATGGTGGCTTTCCCGACTCGCTAGCTCAATTTGATCAAGAGTTATTGACGAAAAACTAACATGACCTTGATGACGTCATAAATGACGTCACGCAAGGTCAACATTGCAACAGTGACGCATCTAACCTTGCAAGGAGTGCATCAAATCACGATTCTGTGTGCTTGAGATAGTTGGAGATCGTTCCCGGCGCCAGAATAGCAGTTTTCATTTTTCCCCATTGACTTATAATGGTGAGGTCACGAAAATGACCTGACCTCATATGACCTTTAGGAAAAATCCGAGATATACAAGTTGTGGGACTCATAATGGATAATAGATCCTGCAAGTTTCATTTCCCTGTGACACCTTCTCTGGCAGTGAGGGCGTTGCGAAGTTGCGACATCTGAAGACCGTGCAGAGGTTCACTTATGACGTCATAGGTCAGTGACCTGACCTGACTCAAAAATGCAGTTGGTGTCAAAAGATTTGGCTTGAATCAAAGGTTAGGTATGCCAAGTTTCAGCTCTCTATCACCAGCGTGTTCGGAGCTATCGCGAAAAAACCCTATGGGGGGCGCACCCGCCCCCCCCCCCTCGGCCGGCGAGGGTTAATGTATACATAAATTTTATGTATACCCTTTTAGACAGGGAGCAAAATGTTTTTCCTTGCTTTGTGCCCTGAAAGTAAACCGCCGTATTACACTTGTTTCGGTTTCTTATAATACTTTTTTATTGGCAGTTGCTTTTTTTTGTATTTAGCTGTTCTGATAGGAGTGTAAACGCATTTTTGCGTCGTGTGTTGTTCATTACTGTCACGTGTATATCAGCGACTGTTTTCATCTTTCCGGAATGTAGGTTCTCGCACATAATTAGCTGTGCACAACAGCAATGAGACATACCTGTTTGTAGCCTTCCATTGAGCTCGCATAAAGAACTTGCATCATTTATCAAGAAATCGTAAGTTAAATTATGTCAGTACAAGCGTAATGTCACAAAACATCGAGAATATGAAGTAAAATATTATTTGAACATGCAAATGGGCACCACGAACAAACTGCTAACAACAAGCCATCTGAGCAAGGCATACATGTGCGACAATGGAACACTTTGTTCACAACAAGCACATCTTTCTTCAGAATGTGCTGAACGCTTGGTCACACATAATTCACAATAATATCACATAAGATGGTCAAAGGACGATGCTGAACGATGCTCACAATCAAGTGCAGTTTTACTGCTGGGTCTCGGCCCAGAAGAGCTCCGGGTGCTCCTGGCGCAGCTGCGCGTACTCGGGGATCTGGGAAGGAGCCACCGGCAGGAAGTCGGCCTCAGGCTGATAGCCACCCTCGTTGGCCCGGTACGACACCGAGTAGGTGTTGCCGTCGTCGGCGAGGAAGGCGTAGGAGCCCTGGACGTCGATGGATCCCGTCTCGGGCTCCGGGCCGGGCTGAACTCGGCCCTCCTGGTCCGCCTGAAAAGGTGGTAATTGGACGTCAATATTTGTCAAAAAGAACGAGATCACTCATTCTCATTCACCAATTTAGTGTTTTACGTTGGCGTATGAAATCAATACTCTAGCATCGGCCAAACCATACACCGAAAGCATTGCCTCTCGAGGGATACATGAATCATCTGACTGATATTGTAGTATGACGTTTGAAAAGTTCCGATATCTTTATCGGATCCAGGATTCTACGCACCCTCTGTCCGTTGTCCAGCTCGTAAGCGTACTTGTAGTTGCCCTGCTCGTCCTGTTCGAAGGTCTGGCTGATGATGTTGACCTGAGGCTGGTCCTGAGGGGCGGCAACAGCCGCGGCCACAACGGCGAACAGCGCAATCTGAGAACATAACAATTCATTAAATCGTTACATCAGCCCGCATCCGATTTGAGGCTATGAAATACACTCTAAGCTTGGTTTGTAAGAAAAAAAAATTGTTGCTGTTGCCGTTGCAGACATATAAGTAAAACATGAAAAATCGCTTACCCACCGACGCTTACACAATTTTATGGTAGCTGAAGTTTACTGTATATCAAAAAGTGGTAAACGCGTAATTTTACATCTGGGTGTGTCCCATGACCCATGCCCGCTTGCCAGATAATGTAATGCCACTAAGAAACCGATAGATCTCTACCACCGCCAGAGGTGCTACTTACCAGCTTCATGTCTACGGTGAGAGGAGCTGTGGTGTTTTGTCCGAATCGAGAGAGAGACTGTAGCTGCCCCAGTCGAGCGCACCTTTTATACGACCGGCACAACGAGCCCGTCAAGGTCAGACGCGAGACATGGGATGGACTGAGCGAACAATCATGCATAGTTCACTTCACAAGCCATCAGCAGTCAAAAGAGCAAAAAGTACTTGCTACGTTTATCCATTTTCGTATATGTATTTTATTTTTTGAATTGCCAGTCATTTTTATTGATACACTATAAATAGTGCGGTTTCAAGGTAGCATGATATTCTAAGAGCAAGCATTCAGTTGAAGTGTCAACTGAATAGTGTCATATTAGCCGTTTTCACGACGGGCTATCCGGCGAGTGCACCTTATTTGACCAAATCTGCACCTCATCTATTTTACAGCAAATAGCTTTATTTTATGAATTTAGTTCAGTGCTTTAATCGATGATACTCTCTGATAATATGACAAAGCAGGCATATAAGCAATTAGTGCAACCCATAGCTGATAGCCTAAGAGACACAAGCCGTTTTCAAGACGGGCTATCCGGCGAATGCACCTGATTTGACCAAATTCATGCACCTAATTTATTTTACAGCAAATATCTTCATTTTATGAATTTATGTCAGTGTTTTAATCGATGATGCTCTCTGATAATATGACAAAGCAGGCATATATAGCAATTAGTGCAACCCTAGCTGATAGCTGCTAAGAGACACATTGAACCTGATTTGACCAAATCTGCACCTAATCTGTACCAGATGAGCACCAAATGTGTACCAGATGGCCGTCGTGAAAACGGCTACATTGAACCTAATTTGACCAAATCTGCACCTAATCAGCACCAAATGTGCACCAAATGTGTACCAGATGGCCGTCGTGAAAACGGCTATTAGGTCAATAAATGTCAGCAGTATTTTTTACACGACGTTTTGAGAGAGACAGGAGAGCGATGAAAGCACCTGAAAGATGTTCAGATTAACAATATGGACATTGGACTGACTGATATGCAACGATAGATTTTGGTCAGGGGATGACCTTGACTGATGTCAAATTTTCAAGTTGATATAGGTTACTTTAGTTTATTTGATGGGTTATACGAAAGCGACGCTATGGTGATAACTGTCGAACATCATTTGAGAAAAATATTGTAGAAAGATTGTTTCGACAAAATCAATGTATTTTGGTGGCATTGACCGTCTGTGGGCAAAACCGTTAAAGGTAGTGTGCCACCTTTGAAAGATTTCCCATTTTATTTTTCCTAGGATAAGAAGCTTCTGTTTTTACCTAATATCGCAAAAAAAAAATCAAAAATGGGCCTGGAATAGTGCCTTTTTCGCCTAAAAGTTTATCGGTTTTTAGATATGTATAACAACTGTAGTGGGCTCACCTGCAAACAGGCGTCGGCAACAATCGCGAATACGGCGCACATGTGACAATAAGCAAAGGTCATTATAGTGTTACGACCATACGACGTACGGGAATGAGTTATCAGCTGTCTAATCGTAGACAACACAATGTCGAGCCTTAAACTGTAAGCCTGTATTGGTATTGTTTCTTTTATTTGGCAGTCGAACATTATTTATGGTTTGAAATATGATTTTATGTAAAATAATTGATATGAAAAAGCCGTCTCATAAGTTATTACCCCATTTCACCACACGCAAGTGGCAGAAATGACAATGATCAGCTGACGCATTTTTCTTGGCCGAAGTCAGAGCGCGCAGCCCGACGCACCACCACCGCACCACAAAGTACGAGCAGAAGCCGCGCCCAAAGCCAGGGCCCCGGTAACGTGAGGTAGCCGAGTCGGGGCAGCGTGCGCTGACCCAAGCCGGGGCCGCAGCTTTGGGCGCGGTCTACCGCATCCCCGCGGGCAGCCCCGGGCTATCACATGACACCGGGAGGACGCGCGGCTCCGGCTTGGGTCAGCGCACGCTGCCCTGACTCGGCTACCTCACGTTACCGGGGCCCTGGCTTTGGGCGCGGTCTACCGCACCACCTAACAGGCGGGGCATTCCACGATAGATCGTACCACTTTTTTCCAATTTGACACCCTCATCTCTCGGATTTTAACGATAATTGGTCTAAGGGGTAATCAGGGGCTCTGAATCCTCCTGTGACAATTTCAGGCTAATCCGATGAGTAGTTTTTGAGTTATAATGTATAACATGTTTTGGATCTTGCGTTGCAGCGCCAAGTTTGGCGGGCTGTAACTCTAAGACGGATAATCCAAATGCCAAATGCTATACGGCATTGAACTTGCATTGAAACAAAGAATAATATGCATTTTTAAAATTTTGAAATATAAACTATTTTTGATATATAACACATCGAGTTTCCTTTCATTTGCACTTTTATGTCTTGGGACCAAATATTTTTGAATTTTTATTTACTTAAAAACATTTTTGGATCATTATTAAGTAGTACGCAAAAAATTAGGAAGGTGTTCTTTCTATAAATGTACTTATTTTGCGTCACCGTAATAGTCTCGAATTGTGATTTCGGGAAGAGAGCCTACAAATGGCGTGGTAAAGCTGCCTAGTGACATCACTGGTTACTGAAAGTTCAATTGAAGTCATTTTTGCCTCACGTTTGCATTGTTGACCTTGCGTGACGTCATTCGTACGTCACTAGGGTCATAAGAGTTTTTCGTCAATAACTCTCGATGAAATTGAGCTAGAGAGACGGGAAAGTTACCAATGGACTCGGGAAGGCCTTGCGAATCGAATGATGTGCAATATGATCTCATACACCCAGCTTCGTGGCCTGACCCGAGTCCCGACTGTTAACCATCTATGTGGCGGCGCTGTTTGTCCAGCGCCGCGCTGGTTGGCTTTGCCGCGGACTCGGGACGGTCACGTGATGCCCGGGGGCTGGCTGCCGGCTGGGCCGCCCGGTCGGGGAGCGGAGCCAAATACACGGCAGTGTGCTGACCCGAGGTCAGCGACTTAAGCTGACCTCACCAAAACAAACAGTATACCATTCGACGCGCCGGAGCTAGGCAAACACAAAGATGCTAAAATCGGGGCTCTGCGACCATTTGTTGCGAAGTTATCTACCAAAAACCGGACCCGTAGTTTGGGTCACTTGAAATGACCTCAGGGGTCACCAATGAACCCGAGACCTTAACCCGCGCACCGACGGGGGTCTGCGCCAACTTAGTACCGACGGGGGGGGGGGCGGATGACCGCCCCCCCCCCTGAGATCTCGAGAACGAAGCAAGATAGCGACAAGCGGTAAACGGCATCGGATACGCACGGTCAAGATCTACAATTTTTACTAAGGTCATTTTCAGGTCAGGTCAAAGATGACGTCACAGGGGTCGAAAAAGTCAAAATGGCGGCGCTGAATATGGAGAGTTTTTCTCGAATAACTTTCGAATTAGTCAAGATAGGAACAAACTAAGGGCATCATCGTGATCCTCTCGTCAATCCGCATCGAATGATATATATGTTGACCTCGAAAGGTCAAGGTCAAAGGTTGACCTCAGGTCACGTGACCTCGAGGTCATCATGTATATCATTCGATGCGTCTTGACGAGCTGAACACAATGAGACCATCCACGCGTCTGTATCTTGTTCCTGTACGGAGTTATTGGCCAAAAACCTTTGGTGACCTTTGATGACGTCACATGACCTCACAGCTGCCCAACAGCAAAACAGACCTCAAGGTAGTGAAGGTTGATCGTATATGAAGTCATGTATGGTATATGGGGCCATTCCGACCCGTTTTAGTGGTAAAAACAGGGAGTTGATTTTTCCCCCATTGACTTATAATGGGGAGGTCGCGAAATTGACCTGACCTTAGGTCACCGATATCAAAATTCCGAGATATACAAATTGTAGCTACTAATGACCTAATAACATCCTGCGACTTTCAAAGGCCTCCGACATCTACTGTAGCTCTGGCACGGTGACAAAGTTGCAAAAAAGTGACTTGAGGTTGGGTCATTCAAAGTGACCTGGTGACCTGACCTTGAAAGGTAGGAGGTTCAAACTTGCACACCATGTGTAAAATTGATAAGGGAATAGTCATACCAAGTTTCGCGGCGCTACGCGCCGCGGTTTTTCCGCTATTTGCGAAAAACCTCAGGGGGGCGGATATCCGCCCCCCCCCGTCGGTGCGCGGGTTAAAATGTGGTATCATTCGATGCATCTTGTAACGGCGCACATGCTTGTTTTTTTCCGCAAGGTTCTAGCCCCATTAGAGGCGAAACGGCGAGCTGGGGTTGTACCGACCCCCGGAAACCCATTTTGTATGCATTAAAATGAGGAACTTATAGAAAGAACACCTTTCTAATTTTTTGCATGTCGATTTTAAATGACCTGAACTTTATTTTGAAGAAACAAAAATGGCAAAACATTTGGTCCCAAGAGCCGTTATAGACAATTTAAAAAAATATTGCGACTTTTTTAAATATGTTAAGCTTTTCTTTCCAATTTTAAAAAAGCTGTATTAATCTTTGATTCATCGTTAGTTCAAAGCTGTTTACTGTTTACTGTTTGTTGCTTGCTTAGCTCGTTTTTGAGTTATAGCTCATCAAACTCACCCTTACAATCTGAAATTAAGAAAATATTATGCAATGTAGCTCAAAAAGTTTTCATCTGACAAGTCTGAAAATTTGACAGGTGTTTTTGGAGCCTATGATTACCCCTAGTACCAATTTTCATTCAAATCTGAGAGATGAGGGTGACGGGCCTGGTACGATCTATCGTGGAATGCCCCAGGCGTGTTCGAAACCGCAGGAGCTGATGATGAACGGGTTTATCGAAACTTGATTGGATGAGCATATCGGTAATAGCGATTTCAGTGTGTGCATTTATTGTTCATAGTGGTGTGAAATGTGGTTGGGGTACGACCGACAACCCGTCGGGGCGAATTTCGCACTGGGGTACTCAAAATTTGAAGAATTTAAGACGTTTCCATGAGTTTTGAAGGTATGGATAAGTTCTAAAAATCCGGTTCTCCTTATCTGGGCCATTAACTCCATACGGTCCAGGAAAGCTGGCACACTACCTTTAACCTTATGTCAAATCTGAGAGCAAACTATATAGTAAAGGAGCTTTAAAAGAGTTACG